TGTGATATTACTCCATTATCATGTTGTGTTGTAAGGTTATTTTGGATTAAACAAATAATCCCCTAGTGGGATCCCATGAGCACTTAAAAGCAGAGAACTTTCTCTGCCTGGTAGCAGAAGGGGAAGCGGGAGAGAATGATAGTACAAGTTGGCTTAAAGATGGGGAGGGGTCATGTCACAGGGAATGCATGCAGTCTCTGGGTGGCAGTCTGCAAGCTCACAGGGGTCCTCAGTCCTAAAGCTGCAAGAAACTGCATTCTGTCAGCAACCCAAATGACTGTGGAAACCCGTGTTTCCCCAGGGCCTCCAGGAAGGAGGGAGATCCTGAGCAGACAGTCGCATTCAGCTGTGCCTGGACTCTGTGCCAGAAGCTGTGAGATGATAAGTTTGTGTAATTTTAATCCGCTAAGTTTGTGATGATTTGTTACACAACAGTAGAAGTCTCATACCAGTGGCAAATGCTATCCATGTAGAGGAAAGACCTTCTGTCCTAGGAGCTGTCAGAGACGTTCACTTCTGAAGTCTCTCTGCCAACAGAGGACCTTGATCTTCTGATTTAGCCATATTCTTCTTCTGCTTGATATTTTGTATTTCCTTTGTAGAACTACAGTAGTGCAGTGACTTTCAGAGTACTTTGACCATGATTCATAGAAGAAATAGGTTTTCCATTTAAACCCAGTTCACTCACACTCAACTGAAAGACAAAATTCCTCCCAGAAGACTTAATCCATATTATGTCAGATACACTCTGACATCTTCTATTTTATTCTATTCAGTTACATTTTTTAAAAGTTAGATTGTGACCCACCAAATCAGTTTCTTTACCTGTTGTCCCAGAGTTGGAAAATCATTGCAGTTGGTTGTGCTTCTGTAGTTTGGTTTACTTCTTAAACCGTCAATCACATGTTATTTTTAAAATGAGTTTCTGTTTAGGGAATATTGCTCAGGGTGAAAGTGGCATAATGGTTCTGAAGGGTTTTTGTGAGAAGTCATGTCCCCCCTCAAT